CGGCTAGCTCAACATGTAGCTAGTCAAATCTTACAGCTGCACAATAGGAAAGATATTGAGTAATTAAGAGATGAAAGTGAAGCTAGAATCTCTCAGTTGTTCCCGTAGTCTCGCTAAACATGTGCTCTCCCTCAAACATGCGGCTGAATCAACAGCGTGTGGAAGTGCAGCAGCTGATAAAGAAACTCCAGCAGACACACTTCAACTCATCCAGCGCGCTTTTCCAAGGCTGGAGAATCAAACTAGGCCTCTGGGACACTTCACCTGAGCCCAGGGCGACTGTTATGAACCGCGAGCCTGTCACCAGAGCGCTGCTGTTTGGCGGAGGCGATGAAGAGGATGATGAAGGTGATGATGTCTAACCTGGGCTTTTGCGGGATGGAGCGAGTCGAGCACTGCGCCACGCTCCGCTCCGCGTTTACCGAGACTTTCCCCGCCAACCGCCGAGCAGCGAGACCCGCACATGATGAACCCCCCACACAGAGCTAACAGCACACTGACAGAGATGTGAAAACAGAGGCGAAATGCTCACCATTAAAACTTTGGCAGCGCTTTCCAGCTGTGAAATCACTTCTGGTGCACCGACCGCCGCCATCATGGTCGTTCTTCAGTGACGCGCCATGCACTGCATTGTGGGATTAAGCAGCACTTCGGGCCAGCGAGTTCACGGGCACTTTTTGGCAGCCACCACTGATGCCCACTTAAAGGTTATGTAATGCGTGATATGGCACTGGATGCCTTTTGATCACTTCGTCGTATTGTAATAGTAAGTTTATTCGTTTGTTTTTCTATTAACGCACGTGTGTGTTTGTTTTCATTTTCAGGGGCGGATTTAGTGATTTTGGGGGCCCAGAGCAATTCCGGTGAGGGGCCCGTAAGTTCAAAAAGGCACCTATGTACTTTAATTTATTTTTAATTTATTTATTTAGCTGTCTTTTTCTTCTTATTTTACTCAATCTCCTTTTCTACATTTGTCTATTTGCAAAATAGTAATAACAACATGTAAAGCATCTTGTACAACGTTTAAATGATTTGCTTTCTTAAAATAAATTCACAACTATAAACAATTTCGTTTGTAAAACTAAATCTTTACCAAATTTGATAGCTGAACTGCTCCATGATTGAGGGTTTGGGGACACGCTTGTGCATTTGTGATGTACTCAGTGGTGGAAAGAGTACTGAAAAAGCATACTTAAGTAAAAGTGCCATTACTTGCCTAAAAATGTAGTGTGGGTAGAGTAAAAGTACCTGCTGTAAATATTACTCTAAGTAGGGGTAAAAAGTAGCCTGATGCATTAGTAGTTGATGCATTTACATGTAACTTGTAGATGTGTGTGTGTGTAAACGTAACATTCTGTAGTGCATTTCGTTATTGCCCTGCAGGCACACAATGTCATAAGACGTTAATATTAGGTTAGAATTAGGATGTGATGTCAGGTGACCAAAATTCAATGTCTAGCCAGCGTCTAAGGATAACATTATTTTGATGTCCAATAATGACATTAAATGACGTTGATATTTGGTTGATTTTAGGTTGGTAAAAAGTGACCAAAATCCAATGTCGAGCCAACATCTTAAACCAACATCCTATTGACGTCAAATAGTGACATTTATTCATCAGTTATGGCAACCAAAAAAACCATTCAGCGTCTGATAAATGTCATAGTGGTAACGTCAACACAACGTCAAGCTGTAACATCATTAGACGTTGATATTTGGTTGGTTTTAGGTTGGACGTTAGACATTGACATCGGGCTGACGTTGAGTTCTGATGTAAACCCGATTTTCATTTCCAAACAAAATGCAGCGTACCCACGGCGTTAGGGTACAATTTCAATCTGACGGCATATTGACGTCTTGTGCCTGCTGGGTGTTTAAGGCCATTTCGGTCATCATAGAGTAAATATCCATCATCTTCTCATCAGTGACATCAGTGCATCTAAACCAGGGGTGCCCATACTCAGTCCTGGAGGGCCGGTGTCCTTCAAAGTATAGTTCCAATCCCAATTGGACGCACCTGGGCTAGCTAATCAAGCTCTTACTAGGCTTTCTAGAAACATCCGTGCAGGTGTGTTGAGGCAAGTTGGAGCTAACATCTGCAGGACATCGGCCCTCCAGGACTGTGTTTGGGCATCCCTGATCTAAACAGTTTCTGGGTCAATGCGTGTAAAGATTTTGAACATCTTCTTGGACACTTTTAATGCTTCTAAACAGTTTGCTGCAATGTAAAGTGCACATGTCTTGAAGTAGTTCACTGATGCAATTTACCTTCTATGTGTGATTTGACTGGACAGGAATTACAGGACTGATTTTTCTAATTCCCATAGATGAAAAAAAATATAAAGTACTGACTGCAGGTTGAAGGAAAGTAGTGGAATAAAAGTACAGATACTGCACTAAAAATGCACTCAAGAAAAAGTAAAAGTACACATTTTTAAAACTACTTAGTAAATTACAAGTTCTGAGAAAAACTACTCAATTACAGTAATTTGAGTGTTTTTATTTAGTTACTTTACACCACTGGATGTAATAAACATTAAACTTATTTTTTAGACCAGGTGTGTGGCCAAACTCGGTCCTGGAGGGCCGGCGCCCTGCAGATTTTAGCTCCATCTTGCCTCAACACACCTGCTTGGGTGTTTCTAGAAAGCCTAGTAAGAGCTTGATTAGCTAGCTCGGGTATGTCTGATTGGGGTTGGAACTAAACTTTGCAGGACACTGGCCCTCCAGGACCTAGTTTGGCCACCCCTTTTTAGGCTTTAGACCCTCATTATACAAAATATGATAGAAATTGATGTTTTATATAATTTATACGTATAATTCTAGGTATTTATTTGGGGGCTCTAGATTTCCTGGGGCTATAAGCGGCCACTTACCTTGCTTATTAGATTTGGCATTTATTCCTCCCAAAATAAATAGTTTAGTGAGCAGGTGCACTTTATGCAACAGATAAATTAATAGAAACGCTTGGCCTTTAAAAGAGTTTCTCAAACTACTAAAACATTAAGCTATTGTTGACACCATAAATTCAGTTTGTTTTTTTTAGACTTGTTATAGTTTAAACATGGTATTTGTAGTAAAACTGTTCATTCAAATATATTGGTTACTACACTTTTACTATTACTATACCAGGCTCATAGCCAGGGGGGTTCAGGGGGTTGGAAAGACCCACCCCTTCACTGACAAAGTCTAGAATTTGACCCCTATATGAGCTCATTTATTCCATATTTGACTGCTATGCCATCATAAATTGTGAAAATTATAGATAAAAGAAGGCTTTAAGACAAATATAATTGTAATTAAGTGGCCAAATTCTGATTGAGAAAAGTTTAATAAGCTTGCCATTTTTTAATTGCCCATAGGCTACAATTTTATTTTAAAACAAGTTTTACCAGATTCCTATTTTTTTAGATGATGATTTATAATATATATTTATTTAAAAATAAGTATTTTTTTTTTAAATTTAATTCTAATTTCGTAAGAATATCTAAAAACTGCATTAACTTACAGTTTAAATCCAAGTTTGTAAATAAATACTTCATTGTAAAATAGTATGGTGGTGAGCACTTTGATCACCACACGACATGCTGATCCTGCAAAGATTAGTTCTTAAAATGTGAGTAAAATGCACAATTGAATAGAAAATGAGGCAAATAGCTGCAAAAAAGGTCCACTTTTTCAGAAAAAAAAGAAGTACCCCTTTCAATAGGCTGGCTACGGGCCTGTATACAGAGTTCATTTTCATAAATGTGTTTCATTCTTGGTGTTATCTGTAACTTTTGGAAGTCATAATTTAAGTCATAATTCAACATAGTTTTAGCATTACTAAAACGGGGATCTTATTTAATAACAAATCTGACTGTAGACATGTTACTCACTATTTTGATCATTGTCACTCGTATAAGACATAAATACAATCTTTAAAATACATAATAATAATAAAAGGTTATAATCAGATTCCAAAACTGTATTACTCACTGTATTAAACCATCTGTGAATGTGTAAAGAAGAATGTACTTAGTATATACTCACCGGCCACTTTATTAAGTACACCATAGTACCAGGTTGGACTCCCTTTTACCTTCAGAACTGCCTTAATCCTTCATGGCATAAATTTAACAAGGTACTGGAAATATTCCTCAGATATTTTGGTCCATATTGACATGATATTGACATTTGTCGGCTGCTCATCCAGGATGCTAATCTCCTTTTTCAACACATCCCAAAGGTGCTCTATTGGATTGAGTTCTGTTGACTGTGGAGGCCAGTCAAGAAACCAGTCTGAGATGATTCACGCTTTATAACATGCTCAATTGGTACTAATGGGCCCAAAGTGTGCCAAGAAAATATCCCCCACACCATTACACCACCACCACCAGCCATTGATACAAGATGGATCCATGCTTTTATGTTGTTGATGCAAAATTCTGACCCAACCATCTGAATGTCGCAGCAGAAATCAAGACTTACCAAACCAGGCAACGTTTCTCAAATCTTCTATTGTCTAATTTTGGTGAGCCTGTGCCAATTATAGCCTCAGTTTCCTGTTCTTAGCTGACAAGGGAGTCGCCCGGTGTGGTCTTCTGCTGCTATAGCCCGTTTGCCTCAAGGGTGGACATGTTGTGCATTAAGAGATGCTCTTTTGTGTACCTCAGTTGTAACTAGTGGTTATTTGAGTTACTGTTGCCATTCTCCTCTGACCTACACTGAGTGCCCGCCATGTGATTGGCTGATTAGAAATTTGTGTTACAAGCAGTTGGAAAGGTGTACCTAATAAAGGGGCCAGTGAGTGTGCATGCACATGCGCTCTTCAATCTGAAAAAGGTATATTTTTTGTGAAAAGGTTAATGGTGGAAATAAATGGTTTAATTAAAAAATGCTCTTGTGTGTGTCTCATCAGCTAAAAATATCTTGGGTGTGTCCCAAACACATCTACACACAAACAGACAGAGACGTGCACACGCTCACCCGCATGCACACACTCACACACACAGACTCAAAACAAGAGAATGATTTGTTTAATTTAATTTAGACATATACATTTACACATGAAGACAGCAAAAGCATTTCTTAAACATTCTCAATTCATACATATGTGTAAAAAAATGAGATAAATCCAAATGCATACTGTCTGTAATACTGTAGACACAAGGGTTCAAAAGTTAGCTCAGAAAAGAGGAAAAATAAGGATAAAAGAATACAAAAAATATGTATATCTGTATAAATATGTTCAATAGTAACAGTATTGTATAATACAGTTAAAGGTTACGTCAAAAAGTCCCAACCCATTCATTCCTTAAAATACAAAAACATACATTAGAGGAAAAAAGTTCCATCATCACACAGCTCCAAACACAGTCAAAGATTGTCAGTCAACATTTTCAAAAGTAAAACAAAGAATCCATCCTCAGCACAACACACGCATTACATTCAAACCCTAAACCTGACTCTGTGAGAGATTCGTAGAAAGCTCATGCCTTTTCACTGAGTGGTCCAATCTGACAAATACAGGGAAGCAAAGCATCTGCAACACTTGCTGTCACACTCCATTCTACTCTGATTGAACCAAAAACATGATGACAATTTAGGTACAAGTCTGAATTGAATATATTTTTAGGAATTTATGTGACTTTTAGGAGTGAGCAATATATAAAAGCGGATCATCACTGGCTGTTACTTTAAAACTCATCCAGTCAGACGTCATACAGGGTAGTTTGACTGACTTCAATCAAGCTTCACTACAAATGATTAAACATTATTATATGGACTTATTAGGGATCCTTATCACTGACCAATCACATACAATGTGTTTCCATATCCACCATGCTACGACATCCAAATACATCTCCTTCAGAGTCTCAATGACAATCATTCACTCTTTTTTTCGTCTTTCTCCAGCTATCATCCAAATGCCGCCTCTTACGTTCAGGACCGGCCTGAGTGCAAGAAATGACGGCATTTCCATTCTTTCCAGAAATACTGATCAGCACGTGGTAAACACACCCACACATTCATTAGAAGGCACACAGTTCGTCTTACATCGGATCAATCACACTGACAATCAAAACCACACTTTTTACACAAAGAGAAAGTATAATTGAAAGGTTGATGATAATATAGTGTAATATTAATAACAATAAGCAGCATTGGGTCATGAAACTATATTGAAAATAGATATAAATCAATAGAATATATACTTTTAGATAGCATAATTCAGTTTTGAAGTTATAAAGGCTATTTGTTGTATTTAGAAAACTATATAATGTATTTCTGTATTGCACATAGTTATACCATCAGATACATTTTTCTTTTGTAACTATCTTTCACCATTTTCGTTAAAGTTTTTGCCTCAAAGTATTTTTTACATTTCAGTCATAGACTGTCTTGTTGTAATACTGTGCTGTGTGAGCAGCCTTGATGACAAAACATCTTGCAATTGTTTGATTACATTTGTGAGTGTGTGTGTGTGTATAATAAAATAAGTTCACTGATAGTGACAGACAAGATCATTTCCAGTGGATCTGGATAAGCAAGAACACACACAACAAAACCACCCGTCTGACTTTTAAGATCTTCTTATGAAACTAAATGCAATTAAGATGAGGTGGGAAATATGATACATTTTCTGAGATAAAAAAACAGAGTTACTTGTGATGAAAGGCGTATAATCTTTTTGCATAACTAGAAAAGGATATAGCTGTAGCCTCAGCTCTTGGAGTTAATTTATATAATTTGTTCCGGATAGCCAACTGCAGCGGTCTGAGAAAACACACTTCAAAACAAAACGATGTGTCTTGCAAGTGTTAGATACACACGCAAGCAGCTGATGAATGTAAGCAGCTATTGGGAACGAAATCATTAAGCCTTAAAACAATGAAACTATTTAAATCAAGCCAGGCAAGGTAAATGCTTGTTGAATTTAAATACCACCTGAATGAAACAGCAACTGATATAACACAACTAAGCAAAAATAACTAATTTTAAAACTGCAATGCAACTGGTAAGCAAACATTAAGCAGGATTTAGGCCTTTTAATATTCACAATTTAAGAGTGTTAATTACCTCTTACATTTTCATATTGTGAATGATATTTTCATATCATATCCGTTTTTTTGTGGCATTATGTATTTAATGACTATACTTATGCTTAGCCTCAGCTCTCAAGTAACAGGCGGTTGTTTAGACAATTGAAGTATGTTTTAAAAACCTTTAATAATTGTAATAATGGGAGTTTTAAGATCCCATGTCCATGAAGTGCTGCCTGTACATCAAAACATTTTATTTTAATATTGTGTCATGACTGAGAGCACCGTTAGGCATGAAACATAAATGAAGGATAACTGTATTATATTTACAAAAGACTATTTTATTAATTAATTAATAATTTATTGTCATTATTAATTATTAACTGCAAAATCCTGCATGGTCTTTTGGACAGACTTTGCATGAAGAAGTGACCTAATACTGTCAGTCCATAATATAGGACTTACATCTTCGAAAAGAAGACACTTGACAATGTCACTCTGAACCACTTGGTGGCGCCACAAAATCCTCTAAAACAAAGTTTGCTCGCTTTAAAAAAAGACTGAGATCATATAATTCCAAATCTGGCTTCAATACCGCAGAAAAAAATAGGTTTTACAGCACATTTATGGATTTATAGCTATAAAATTCAGTTTGGTATTATGAACTTTTAAAAATAAACCACAGAGCTACCATCCCAAGCCAAGCACTCTTGTAATCCTTCACCATAAACTCTCGGGTGTTTGGAATGTTAGCATCACCAGGTTGAGAGAGGTGAGGGATGTGTTAACATATGACGTAAGACTGGGACTCTTTCTCCCAGTGGAATAAAAGAATAGGACACGGTTGACACACAACACACTAACCATGAGTAGAGTGGTTTAAACGTCAAACCACAGACCAACAGCTACACATCTCTGTTTTTGTGCTCTCATAGAAGAGTATCAGTCACATCAACGTCCATATGCAGCTGCAGGTCTTGTGTATTTCCTTGGTCCCAGGTCAGAGCTTCAGTCATTTTTAAATGATACTGCATAATGGTTTATGGGAATAAACACATTTTACTTGGAACTTTCTGCACTAAATTTCTGATGTTCTTCCAAGCATTTCAGGCAACACCCTGAAGAAAAAATAGTGTTGAAAGGAAGTAGAGAAGATGCAGCGTGTTAACTGGTGAGGTCCTCCATGGGTAAAGGCAGAGCAGCATGAACAACCAATCCAACGTTTTCACACATAAACCGGCTCACACCCTTCCCCTTGCTCTTCCTCTTCATGGGCCTCTTCCTCCTCCAGCTCAGGCTTCAGGCTGCCGGCCCCGTCACTGCTGGACAGGCTTTGTGTCGCCTCTAGGGGTTTGGGATAACGGAATGGACAACCATTATCATCAAAAAATCTTCGGAAAGTAAACTCATAGAAGGCATGTTCAGGGTGTTTGCCGTGAGGAGAACAGAGGGTGTCCCAAGTGCGGGTGCTATCCCCACTATCACTCCAGGCGCCTGGGCCTCCCTCCTCTTCAACAGGATCAAAGTTGGATGTATCCATGGGGTGGGCAATTTTTGGTCGATATGGTGCAGGTTGTGTCCGAAGATTGCTGGAGAAATCCACCTCGGAAAAAAAAGGATGAGCCTTTATTTCTCCAGCCCCATTGCCTCCTAGACGCTCTTCAGCAGAGCAGCAAAGCTGGCCAATAATATCGACTGCCTCTGGGCTTAGTTTTACTTGTGGTGGCACTTGCAAAGTGTTCTCCCAGTTTATCACCTGTAGAGGTAGTGACATCAACAAAAGTTTATTTCTTGTCATCAAAACTCTTAACCTCAAATATTATAAAATATTATTTAAAGAAAACAAAGATGTGCAGTCCTTTTTCCTGCATGGGCACTGTCTTGCCTAATTGAATCACCTATTCAAGTTTTCAGGATTACTAGAAATTTCCAAGTATGTTGGGGTTGGTTGGAACTCTGTATGATACTTGCCCTCCAGGAGCAGGATCAACTAAAAACATGCATACAGAACTCTTACCTTAAGCTGCGTCTCTGTTGGGGTTGGAGCAAGAAAGGGTGGTTGGCCAACCAGCATCTCAAACAGGATCACTCCCACACTCCACCAGTCGCACAGCTGTGTGTATCCTGTGTATTAAAATTAATTAAAAGGAGCAATTAAAAAGAAAAAGGTTCTATAGGCACTAGCAATTCTTTGTAATGTCCTTGTACTTCCGAGTGACTATGTGAATATTCTTACCTTTGCGCAAAAGCACCTCAGGGGCAATGTAGTTAGGGGTGCCCACCAAAGAATGCGCCAGGCAGCGCTGGTGTTGTCGAGTTGCTCTCTGTTCCAAAGTCATCAGCCGGTCACCACAACGGCAATTAGACACATCATCCCAAAAGTCACTTGGCTCCATGCTATCCTGTCGGATATGGTTCCCTATTCAAGCAGTGCAAAGAGAGAAGGCAACCAATTCATTGGATTTAATAAACACTGCAACAGCATTAAGGACTTTTTAAAGGCTATAAGCATCACCTTCTCTTACCTTTTTGGTAATACTTTGAGTTGTGAGTCCATCGGAACCCCGTACATAGACCAAAATCAGTCAGTTTGATGTGTCCATCCAGGTCAATGAGGATATTGTCTGGCTTGATATCTCTGTGGATGAAACCCATCTTATGCACACTCTCAATTGCCAGTGTCAGTTCTGCCACATAAAACCTGGCTAAGACCTCTGGAAAAACTCCCATACGGATCAGCAAGCTCATCATATCTCCTCCAGGAATGTAATCCATGACAAAATACAGATTGTCTCGGTCTTGAAATGAATAGTACAACCTGACTACCCACTCATTGTCAGCCTCTGCTAAAATGTCCCGTTCAGCTTTAACATGGGCTACTTGATTTCGGTTAAGAACGTCTTTCTTTCGCAAAGTCTTCATTGCATACAAGGCTCCTGTGTCTACTTTTCGGGTTAGACACACCTCACCAAAGGCCCCAATGCCGAGTGTCTTGATTTTGACAAACATTGATTTGTCCATCTTGGCACGTCGTAGTCGATTGTAATTGGATTCCTTCTGGTAAAGCATCTTTCTCATCTGTTCCTGCTCAGCCTCTGAAAGGCCAGCCTAAAATAATGAAAGAGATTGTTAGAGGGGACTCAGTTGAAAACAAACAAAAAATATACCCTTTTATGGATAACTCAAAGAGTTAACAACTCAATTATACAAATTATAAAGTAAACGGTGTTCTTTGTGATAAACAGTTCCAGCATAGCTTACCTTGGACATCTCTTGCTCCAGCTGCATTCTGCGATTAAGTTTCTGCTGGTATGTCTTCATCACATTCTCCACATGTTGCTCCATGTAGAACTTAAAGGCAAATGGAGAATAACTCTTAATACGAGACTCCCTCTTCTCTTCATCACGGGCATTTTTTCGTACAGGCACAGGTGATGTCTGGATCTGCTTCTTATCCTTCACAGCCTTTTCTCCTTTGCCCATTTTCACTTTGTCTTTGAAGATGGATTCCTCCTGCTTTCCTACCGAGGAACTCTGGATAGTCCTACCTGTGGCACTGACATCTTGAAGTCCACTCATGGCTACAGGCTCTAAGGATGCAGGCTCAGGTCCAGATCCAGACACAAGCAGTGTTTTGGGGTAAGGTGGAGGTGGGCATCGATGTTCTTGACTGGGTTCCAGGGTAAAATTCTCATCTGGGATGTATCCAAGAGAATCCTGTGCTTCCGGGGATTGTGCACTCAGCCACCCTGGATGGCATGGTCCCACTGCTGTCTTCGGCTCAGGCCTCATGACCCGTATACTCTTAACAGGTGGCTGAATTGGTGGAGAGGTCACTGCAGTTATTGTGTTAGGTGGGCCCAAAGATGACTCTGGCTTCCCAGCAACACTAGCTGTTGGGGGCAATGTCTGCCTCACAGTCACCTTTTGGTGGTTGTTGAAAGAATTGGTCCGACTGGGGACGCGTACCTCCCCTCTGAAGGGCCCTTGTGGCTGCCTGGCTGGAGGAGTCCCCTCAGGACCTTGAGCTCCTGGCCAGTGATGCTCATACAGGTCAAGATTTAAACTGGCCCTGGAAGGGGTGAGAAGGCCTTGAGGAACATCAGAGAACTCCCCACCCATAGCTCCAGGGGCAACACCTGGGGGGCGCTGCATCATGTGAACCTGGTGTGAGGTGGGGCTAGCTTGGCGTGGATGTGAATGTGGTGGCAGATATAAGTTGGGAGCATAGCCACCAGCATTTTGGCCCATTGCTGCTTTGCTTGGCATATTGACATAATTTTCTGTAGTTAGTTGGGGCATCTTATTCTGAAAGGAAGCACTTCTTTTGACCCCGTAGCTGGAATTCTCCATCATATGCGACCTGTAGTCATAATGTGCTCCAGGCCCTCCTGAGGGCTGAGACTGGATTTGCATGGGTGGTCCAGACACACTGTACCCCATCATGGCCTGGTCAATCCCACTAGGGTATCCTTTTTGCTGGGCTGGACCAGGGGTGTACATTGGATTCCCAGTATTATTTTGAGGAGCCATGTTTGTGGAGTAAGCACCCATACTTGCAGGGCGTCCCATCGGGTTTCCCATGGTAGCACCCTGTGAAGGGTTGGCAGGCGGTGGCATGTAGTTCATGACAGGTGGTCCACCCATGTATGCCCGAGCCATTTCACCCTCAGCCCCATAACTAGCTCCCTCATACAATGGTGCTCCCATTTGATGATAAGGGGGAAGTGCACCATCCCCACTGCCTTCCATTGCTGTCCTGTGGTCCATCAAATTTGGCATGCCACTTTTTCCTATAGGAAATATTAATAGGTTCAAATACAGAACATAATTCAAGTCATATCATAGGTATAGTGAGTGTGCTTTAGTATTGTCTTGCCTGGGGAAGTCTGTTTGATGACACGTACAATCTGTTCAGTGTGAGGATCAAGGTAACTCATTTTGCTAATGTATTCCAATGCTGCCTCGATGTTACGGCTACCAGTCTGTTTCAGGGCACGCACTGCCATTTCCTGTTTTAGAAATTCAAGCAGAGAACTATTAAAACAATTGCAAAGCACACATCAGAGCAATTACTGTCATTATGCACTAATAAACACAACTTCTAGAATCAAATAAGTTTTCCTTAAGATCCTGACCTGCAGCTTTTAAAAATTATATTACATTGAGATTTTACTCAATAACACAGAAGATGCTAAAACAAGCAGAATCCAATTGTGTTTTTTTACACCAGCTACTGAAAATATTCGTTTGCTACATGCACCAGTGTAACCTAGAGGGATTTGCCACTGGAGAAAATGAGCCAAAGTAGCCTTCTTTACTACTGAGGTATACATAATATACTTTTACTACTTAAAATTGGCCCTTGTACAGTTTTAGAATTTGTAGTGGACACTAGTGGTTGTGGAAAATGCCCATATTAAACGTTTAATTTTCAGATAAATGCATATATGTGTACAAAATTTACATTTGAACAAGCCTATAAATATAAACCGGCCTATGAACACCTACAGTACATAATGGTCAAAATAACATTCTCTGCAGCTGCTTCCTCTGCAAGTTATGCACAAGCTCCTTCCTGTGCCAGGCTACAAGCGTACTATGACCGGAGATTGGCACATTCAACCACACAGTAAGAAACTTGCAATTATTAATGAATTCCATGGAAATAAATCTCACTATTCAAAGTGAGACTCACTTCTGATTTTTAAAGTCTTTTTTGTACTATTTATTTAGTGCTTCAATGCAATGTAAAGTGTTGTGTTAATTAAAATTATTAATTTAGAGGCTCATTAAAAAAAAGTAGTTCTCCTCAGTTTGAATATATACTCATGATTACCTTCCAACTCTGTTTCAACCTGAAGAGGTCTTCAAATTAATCAAAGGTTTTCCTTGTCACATTTTGTAAGGACTGTGATCCAAGAGAAAACTCAAACGTGTAAAATATTCTATGAGTAGAGACCCACACCTATTTGAGGAAATCCCCTTGAATGGCATATGACCTCATTCAGAAGACATTCTGCCCAAGTCAATTTCTACAGCAGCACAAGCTGTGTTACGCTGCCTCTGCTGGGCAAACTTGATACCGCACCAAGCATGCCATGGAAAGAAGAAAATGCCTAATTCAGCACATACTTGTGCATTTTGACCTCTGTGTATTCAAAGAAATGCCAACTGGCAGAGTGAAATAAAGACAAAGTTACAATAGTAAAGAGTATTTCTGAGCTTTGGTCAGACAATGCTAAAACTCATGTCCAAATAAAAACTGAATGGGTGTAAACAAGCAGACATTCAAACAGTGAGCACACTCAGTATTGCAGCGCCACATCCACACACATTCTACACATTCCCAGAATAGTTTAGAATTACCCTATGTGTATCTTCACCAGCATGTCTAAATGCGTATTCACACATTTGCTGGAACTTCGGTTAGTACTGTACAAAACACACAGTCTGGGATCGCCGTCTCAGAAGTGCCAGCACTTTCTGTTGCATTCCATCACTGTCCGCTCCAAGGGTGTGTGCCTTCACATCCCTCTTAGTGATTTAAAGGCGCCACTCTCTCTTTTTAAAACACACACACAAAACAGTCCACCATTGACTTTAGTCTGGTTTCGGGAAGGGCTGGGTCTGGTTTGGCCCCAGGTCAGAGTTTCAGCCCTGACCTCCACTGTCAAGGCGACAGATGTTCAGGACATTCCACGAGCCAGGAAGCAAGAATTCTAGTTATGTGGAAATCTATGCCTCAATCTATGTTCAAATTGTCTCTCCCCCTCCCCTTTTTATTTTTGAGAGCATTTTGTTCTAGTGTGTCTTTAGAATTCATTTGGTCTGTTCCAAAATATCCCGTTTGTATTTACACCCTCGTCATGACCACAAGCCTCAATGCTACACTAGACGTTCAATTTCTGACTGTGGTGTCTCTATGTACACACATGAAAACACAAGCTTTTCTCCTTTTAAAAGTAACCCCCCCACACACACACATTTTCTACTTAAAGTATTTTTATACATTATTCGCTGTTCATTCTGAACAACTTCCACTTTGACCCAAATTCTGAAACACATTCCGCCATTAAATTTGAGAATGAAAACCATATGGAGGACTCTGAGATTTTTGACCGGATGGACAACATCATCCTCATGATCTGCGAATGGATCCATAAGTGCTCAAACAGCAGATCATGATGCTAACAATGCCTTTGTCATGGGTTCAATTCTTACAGATTTTCAGAACATACACCTAAACACTAGCAAACAATACAGCACCATCAAAAAATAAATAAATCTTAGCCAGACTAATGGAATAAGAAACAAAATAAAATGACGTAAAAAAGGAGAGAGAAAAAAATTACAATACAATAATAATTACAGAGACATTATTAACCTATAAATCTAAGAAAGGGGACCCATATTTTGTCATCTTCTGTTTGCCAAATCTAGAGAAACGTCACCTTTCTAGCTTGAGGGCAGAAACCATTTCAGCTAACCATTTTAAAAACCTGGAGGTGACGTGGATTTCCACTCCATCGAAGTCACTCTGTTGGCCAGCACCACACCAAACATAAGGGAGAGTTGTTCATGTTTAGGCCAAGTTAGAGCCTGGTCTGAACATCCAAACAATGCTAATTCCACATCAATTTTAATGTCCATTTTAAAAGCCTGTGAATAAAGTCTGACGATACTTTTCCAAACTTCAGATACTTCTGGACAGGAGTAGAATATATGACTATAGGCCCCGACTGTGCACACAAAGGTGAGGATGCAGCTTATTAAGTTTGGCTTAAATAATTTTTCATTCATTCATTTTCTTGTCGGCTTAGTCCCTTTATTAATCCGGGGTCGCCACAGCGGAATGAACCGCCAACTTATCCAGCAAGTTTTTACGCAGCGGATGCCCTTCCAGCCGCAACCAATTTCTGGGAAACATCCACACACACATTCACACACACTCATACACTATGGACAATTTGGCTTACCCAATTCACCTGTACCGCATGTCTTTGGACTGTGGGGGAAACCGGAGCACCCGGAGGAAACCCACACAAAGGCAGGGAGAACATGCAAACTCCACACAGAAACGGCAACTGAGCCGAGGTTCGAACCAGCGACCTTCTTGCTGTGAGGCGACAACACTACCTACTGCGCCACTGCCTCACCTTAAATAATTATTGTTAGATAAAATCTTTTGTAACACTGAATGAATTTTTACCTGCACTTTAATCAATTTAATGCACCCTTGCTTAAAATTATTCATTTAAAAAGATTAATAAAAAATATATAATAGTAGCCTTTGTGATCTTAAAATTTTTTTTTATAATTTGCTTTGCCCTTCTTTTGGGATGACATTCACCATCTATCTTGCTTTTAAAGCAACATCCCACCAAACACTTTGTTCATTTGTTAGGCATAACTTCCACTTTTCATGATCCAATTGATTCCTAAAGTGGGAACTAGGGCTGCACAATATATTGTTTCAGCATTGATATCGCAATGTGCGAATCTGCCATAGCCACATTGCAGGGTCTGCAATGTCAAGCTAGGATTATAATTAACCAGCTCAGAGTAAATGATTTAATCACAAAGATTAACCCTAATATAACTTAGAAAGATTTGTTATTTTTATTTGGATGTGTTTTAAGGCCTGTGATAAAGATTTCAAGTTATTTTAAACTATTTGTGGACAAGAAATTATAAAGTTTTTACACTTAAAGAATGACTGTGTTTATTTTGTACGACGAAGACTCATTACAGTCTTATTTTACATTAATTTCTGTATGTCAGTACTGTTAAACCACTGAAAATCATCTAGTGTTGCTTGTTTTATTTGTATTATTGTTCTGTTGATTTTATCCATACTTTAATTTGTTTATTTTAGAAATTTCTAGATAATTTTGAATATTTTATGCAGCGCTAAAAGCTCTGCCCAACATTAATTCTTGTTAAATATCACATATCCCCCAGAAACATCACCTATTTCAAATGGCGTAGTTGACTTTTAATGTCAAAGCTATGTTACAAAGCTTGTGGTTGTAGACTGGTCATATTTGGTTGCAGGAAAAGCCTAATATAAACATTCAGGCCAAGTGCCAACATGATATGCCAACACACAGTACACATGTATCACATCACGCATATTTCCCAAGTACACAAACATCACATGCATGATGTATACAGGCAGCGTTTTGGATCCTATGCTCAAAACCACAAATCCACAACATATGTCATGCTCATCTTCTTCCTGTACCCCCTCCCACCCCTTTCATTTCCCCAACCAAAACATTTCCGCCATCAAAGGTGGTTATGTAACCACTGGCCGCATTGCTGTGTAATTTGTGAGGCGAAAAACCAACGATAATGATCAAACCAAAGAAGCGCAGGGAAGGACCAGAGGCAGGCCTTTACCTTCCTGGAATGTGCGGAGGGTCAATGGAGAAACACAAGCCCCAGTCACTAAACTAAAAATACCAAGTCACACACCATGACTGAGTCATTTCACAATAATCACGTTATTACTAATAATAAAAACATGCAAAAAAATACCCAGACCTTGGGATGGGAGGTCTAGGTGCATGTGGTGTACAACGAAGAACTGACTCACACTAAATCTGAATACGAAGTCAGACAGGCTAAGCCACAAAACACAAATGTCATGTTTTTGTAAAAAAATTTTTTTAAAAAACGTCAGCCCACACATTAGGACAAAAACATGCCAGGGATCGAGTGTATCCAGAGGAAACGCCCATTTACTACAGAACTGAACACTTCCTCTTTGTGTATGAGTGTTGTACATGCTGTAATAAAGGCAGTGTAAGACAATCCATCTAATGATTGTGAAATTCTCACATCTATGAGATATTACACTCACAGCCTTTTGAGATACCAAGTGCCTTTTTGGTCTATTTTATGGCCAGTTTTTCCCTTAAGGGCAATCAAAATAATTAATAAATAAACCACTGTTTAATGTTAGGACTGTCACAATTAATAAATAATCATCCAGTTAATTATTCAA